ATCTCATTGTACTGCAGTCGTTTGGCTTTTATACGATATTCATTTTGACGAAGTCCACAAGACTTCCTCCTTCGTTTGGGTGAAACCGTGCTGAGCTTTCGTCCATCATATAATGGACCTCACCAGAGCTAAGTTACGTTCTTGTAATGATCTCATATTAACACTTGGCCAAGAAAACTATCCGGCTCTATATTACTTCTTATATAGACTCATTAGAACCAAAGGAAAATTAAAAACCTAGATAGATCGATATAAAGTGGTTTGGCCAATTTTCTTCCATAATTGTCCTGTGTTTTTTTGCTCAATTGTATGAGTATGTGTATGAGTAGCTTCTATATAAGAAGTAGGATAGAGCCGGATAGTGTTCTCAGCCTAGTGTTAACGTAAGGCTCTTACAAAAATGAAACCCAGCTCTGATGATATCCATCATATGATGAACGAAAACTCAACACGGTTTCACCCGAAACGAGGAAGGAAGTCTTGTGGACTTCGTCAACATGAATATCATATAAAAGCCAAACGGCTGTGGTACAACGAGGATCATCTGTTCTCATCTGGCGAGATCGATCAACAAATCTCTTCTTCATTCACTTTAATACGAACTGAAAGTCCCCCTAACAATATAATCTCAAGAGATTTATTGAAACCCAGTTTCGATTTATACTTTAAATTTCCTCTCTGAGAGCATGAAATAAATCAGAATTAGATAGTTATCACCGCTACAAATGACCCTAACTTATAAGACTTAACGTTTTTCCATTTTTTGTTAGTAAAGTATCATATTTTGCTTATGTTATAGATTATCTTAATATGTCTTCTTTAAAAAATTGAACATTAAAACTTTCCTTAATTGGTTTTGTTTTACTTACTTACTCCAAGACTCCTCATGTTTATCGATGGATTCGGGAGGTATGCTTTCGTCTCAATCATAAGATCATCTAAATAATTTTTTGTTATCAATGAATTAGTATTTTAATAATTTTTCTATTGTTTAGATATAGAATTTAAATTTGTTGATGATGACGTTGCAACTGACGAAGAATTTTTCGCCCAGTAAAATTACAAATAATTCTAAATCATTTAGAGCGAATGAACCTTTATCTAGTTTTGACATAACTATCGGCCATTTAGAAGATATTGTTGTGGGCAGTGAATTTCAAGATATACAGCATAATTTCCTGAATGAGCATTATAATAGCTTTGAAGATACCGATGAGAATAAGTTGTGCTATACTGAAATACACAAGAAATATGTAAGAGCTTATTAGTATAGTTATTGGAAGATGGACACTGTTGAAACGTTTTTGGAAGGAGAGCTGAAAAAAAACATCCCTGATTTCAGCATGGCCGACTTTGTAGCCGAAGTGTGGTAAGATCCTCGTTATTCTTATTCTTGGCGTAATTTTTAATTATGTTTATTCGTTTGTATGATTTTTATCAAAAATAATGCAAATGCTTCATTTAAATGAACTTATCGGTTTACATCTAATCTTTTTGTTTGCTCACTATTCCAATAAATTATTAAGTCTAACTTAGGCTTCTTGGTTATTACCACTTTAGGTGCGGTACACTTTATATAGACCATAATATTTAAGCTAAATTTACTCAGCCTGATTTTCAAAAGTTAATTATATGCATCGTTTCCTTCTTAATATTGTGGCTAAAATATAATTCTCATTCACTCATAATAAATAGCAACTGTGTTGTTCCGACCTTGTTTTCGCAACTTGATATGAACACCAGGGAAACCTTGTGAAATGTATCTAGCCTTGTGTCATCTACAATCGGACCATTGATTTGGTACATTCCCGATCGTTTTACCCGAATTGTCAGCACAATCACAACTTATCAAAGTGACTAATGTTTTAAGAACAAGTTGCAAAAACGAGGTCGAACCAACACTAAAACGAAAAGAAATAGCGACCAAATAGAAAGTCTCACAATGTTGGTCTTCATATTTACTTCAGTATTATTTTGTTTAACGAATATTTTTTAAACCCCTTTGTAGGCTCTTATATCAATATATTCTCATTATTTGATCGCGGCTCTTAATTATTTATACTAAACCTGTCTTTATCGTACCTTACCTTCAACTGATTTTTTATCCTGTTTTGGGCCGCATTAACTATACTATCTTTGTTTGATAGTTACCTGATCACTTATTATTGATTATAAACTATTATCTTAAATTTTTCAAAAGTCTATTTATGTTCGAACGTTTCTTATCATCTAATTCCGTCTATATTAATTTTCCATTTTTATTTTTTATTCGTGTGTAATTTATATTTACCTAATGGCTGGCTACCAACTATATTTTAAAATC